GTGTGTGTGTGTGAGCATGTCACTGACTGCTTTCACACACAAAATGAAGGCCTTGCCTTTGTCAGGCCAAGTGCTTGGACTTTAAAGTGCACAGTGAGGAGACAGTAGCTGTAGATCTGAGGAGCATGAGGAATAGAGAAGATTTTTTCATTGGCTTGTTCAGTTGACATGATTATGTATATATATATAGGGCTTTTGAATATCTGAGAATGCATAGAAGCAACCGATTTGCAGTAAACTGTCTCTTTCCACACTCTTACAAACACACAACACACAACCAGCAGCTGCAGCTTTCGTTCTAGCCTCGCTGAACGGCGTTTTCAAACACCTTTAGGTTTTAATATGTATTTTCAGCCAAGGCGCTAACAGGCATCATTGTTCTAAAGAAGGCGCAGTTACTGTAGTTACTTCGGTAAACTCACACCTTGGCTTGAAAGTAGCACGGCAATGCTGTTACATGAAGCTGTTGCCTTAGCCGTGCATACGTGCATTCGCCTAAAACAGTTGCCGTATTTGTACAAGCACGCACATCACATGGCGTTTCTTCCACACCTCCATCCAGACCCTTTACATATTTACTCACCAGACTTGGCACCTGCACCCCCGCCCATAAAAATACACCTTCCGCATGCATTCAACAACAAGAACATAGGCCTTCACACTTTACGAGCTGGAGGGGAAAAAACATGAGCATGGCTTTAGAAAAGCAGGCAGTTAGAGAAGTTCGCGAACCTTGCACATCTAAAAATGTCAGAGGGTTTGTTGGTTCTTCTCCATCACACCTCGATTTCCTTCAGCAGGCATTTGACTGTGATTAAAAGTGCACCGTGTCATACTAGAAGTCAGGGCTGAACTCAAGCCAGGCTGATTGGTGGTTGTAATTAGAGGAGTTGCTCAGTCTCAGGCCAGGTCTTCCTGGAGGATTCACACAGGCTCAGTATCACATCAGCTATGTGGAGAAGAGCCCGGTAGTTTCTGCCAGCTCCAGATTTCCCAGAACCGACCAACTTCACCAAGCAAACACAAATTTCCACCACCAAAGATTCCTGCAATTTCTGGTTCTGCTTCATATATGCGCAAATTTCTGTCTAATATAAAAAGAAATGAGAGTTTTATTGCAAAATTGCTGTCTTTCCAAAATTGTCATTATTTTGCATTTTACTTCAGGAATCAGTTTAGATTGGGAGCCTTTATTTCTCATTGCTATAAAGCTATAAAGCTATAAAGCATGGTTAGTCGCTCCTGGTTTTCCTCCTCACTCTTCACTTCACAATGAGCCCCTCTTCTCTTCTTCTGCTCCTCCTCTTCCTGCTCCACCACTACCTCCATCCTCCTTCATTCTCTGTGAAAGCAGGTAACATGAAACCCACTCTTGGAGTCTCAAGGGTCTGCAGGGGTTACAAAGGGTGATCAATATGTGCCAGGGAAAGTCTTTAGACAAGTAAAAGACACCGCCGTTTGTGTACTCCCTCCTCTTTTCCCTCTTTCCTCTTCTTGTTGTTGGGATTGACAAGGTTAGATGGCCCTAACACCCACTGACATGTTAGCTCTGTGTACCTTAAAGTTAAATGACATCAAACCCTTGGCCCACACACAAATATTTAATCCATGTAAACACACCAACTGCATAACTACACTAAAAATCACTTGATTAAATCAAGTCAATTGAATAGTCATTGAAAAAGTCTGTTTTTTATTTTTTAATATCTAACCTGTTGCTTTTCAACAGGTGGTGGATGACATGGGCAACGTGAAGTTTGCACTGGACACGGGACCAGATGCCGCCGGCAACAGCTGGCTCAAATACGTCCGCTCTGCCCCGTCATTTGAGGAGCAGAACCTCGCCGCCTGTCATCTCACAGGAGACCAGGTGAGTGCCATGACAACATTGTCCAAGTTGAATCCGTAGTCCAGATACGAAGGAAGTCGCACCACACTGTCAGAAATAGGCCGAGATGAGTGGGGGGCGGCAGTTATTCCTTCCCGTCTACTAAGAGTAAATGCTGGCTTGATGTGTGTGAATGAGTGTTTTTGTGTGTGTGCACTGGAGAAACGTGTGTGCTAGTAATGACCAAGGAATGGCTCCATTGTGTGTCTGTGGCTGGGATGGTTGCCAGTGCTGTTAAGAACTGACCCATGTAAAGAGGCTGAGGAATAGTCTGACACTCCTGAGTCCCATAATAACCGTTATCCAAAGCGCAGTCTTCTTCTGTGGCGGCAGCAGTTTCTCTTTTTGCTTCTTATCACCCAAACACCCCCACCCACCACCCCCTTCTCGCTCTCTCTTTCTCTCTCAAACCTAAGCAAGCTGTATCGGATCCTTTTGGAAAGATGCCCAGCCATTGCCTATAAAACCCCAACTGCTTAACTAGGCCCTAACCCTAACCCCATGCAATGTGTGTACCACAACTTACACTGCTGCAACGTATTAGCATAATTCTCCATTTCTGTTTATAACACAGAGACAGTTTTTCTTTTTCTTTTTGCTACATTTTGCTCTGCTGACTCTTGTCCCAGTTTCTGCAAATTAAATACTGGTGCTATTATTTAATACGCATTTCACTGTCAATTCAATCTGCTTCCAAAGAAGAACCGAGGATGGGAATCTTAAGTGAGATGACACCAGAAGCTAAGCAGCATGACAGTAGCCAGATCCGCCCGTATGATTCGTCTGCGTGTTTCCACATTCTCGTCACTCCGCTCTCATTTGTTTTCTAATCCCTGCCTACGCGGCCCTTCCTGACTCCGTCTCCAGCCGCCTGTTTCTTGCCGACTCTGTCTCCTTTCTCTATCCTGGTGTCTTGATCTGCCACCTGTCACCCTGTCACACCAAGGGGACAGGCTGGTGTGTCCATTTAAGCTTCAGACATTAAGTCTGACCGATAGAGAGAAAGGGGGCTTGGTACCAGGCGTAAGAGACTGAACGCACGGGGGCCTCCGAGATTGACAAGCACCAATTGGCTGGCAACACCAGCCCGCCTAATCCTTTTAAGATTTTCACATCAGTGCCCCCTGCCACTGCCACACAATGTCAAAGAAAGAATCAGGGCACCAGAGAAAATTGTGGAGAATTATCGGACCACGAAAAGGCCACGTGCACGATTGCTTTTTGATGTGTTTTGCAGTTGTTTGTACTTAGCGAACGGCTTTTGCTTTTGTTTGCTTGCCCAGTTGTTTGGTGTAGTGGCTCGCAGGTATGACCCTATCATTTATTTACAAACACAACACAAACACGCACACTCACACACTCACACACACACTTATGTGCAGCCACTCAGTGCTAAAATGTATAATTTAAGAGACCATTCACTGATTTTTCTTTTTTCTTTCTTTCGTTTTTTATAACTGCATGCACAATACATGAGTTTATGGAAATATGTGCACACTAGGCAAATTCAAATGCAGGCAGTAACCTTTTAAAGAGCAAGAGGAGAAGTTATGGGGTTGTTTGTCATTAATGATGCAAGATGAACAAATGTGTGCATGACTGATCATAATTCAGACATTTGTGGCCGTGCATTAATTTGGCATTGTTTTTATAGATTTGTTACCATTCTGTCAGGTGATTCCACGAGTTTCATTCAAAGTATTGTGGATTTCTTTTTTTTCTTTTTTTTTTCCATTCGGATTGAATGTGGCTCTCTGTGTAAGCATCTGCAGACAACTGTATCAATTACATTCTTCTCAGTTAAAATCCATCCAAAATGTGTGCCTCTGTGTGTACGTGCACCTAAGTGAGATTGTTCTCATTCATTTATAACCCCAAACAATTGGTCAAAATGGGTTTGCAAGTATGCCCATTCACTTTTTCGAAGGCCAAGTTGCACTGAGAGGTGGAAACAGCTGAGAGAGCTATGAGTGGCATGTGAGATGGGTGGGTAGCTGATGGGGGGTTTAAGGAAAAGATGAACCTTGTCCACCTTCTTGTCAACTTTTCATCTTTTGTGTTTTGGAGTGAAGCCCTTTCCAGTGCTGTTTGATCTGCCCTTCTACCCCTGGACGGATCCATCAATTCATAGAGACAAGCGTGCATGTGCAAGTGTGTGTGTGTGTGTGTGTGTGTGTGTGTGTGTGTGTGTGTGTGTGTGCGTGCATGTGTATTAGGCCACAGTAGGGGATTGTTGTGGACCCCTATGGCTGGCATTGATCGATGAGGCATCTGTCTGCTGAACACTGGACAGAGATGGGAAGAGGTCAAGACAAGTCTATGTGATCAGACCTTACTGTAGGACACACACACACAGAGAGAGAGAGAGAGAGAGAGAGAGAGAAAGAGAGACCGAGTAAGAGAAAAGGCAAAAGAAATATTCAAATTAGACATCCAAATATTAATTAAGAATGTAATTAAACCCTCTTAATTATTAACTGACTTGTATTCTTTGAAAGGAAAAAAAGTGTAATATTTTCTGATAATGTTGCAATTAATAATCTTGACATAAAACCGGGAAGATGTGTCATTAATATCATAAATTAAACTACACATAAAAGGGCTGCAACATAAATTAAGCATAAAAAATAGAAAATAAAAAAAGGACTTTTAGGGATATTGCGACGCTGTTCATTGTTTTTTACCTCAGTGCCCACACTCGTGTCTGAACGGGTTTTATTTGTTTTGTTTACCCGCTGTAAATACGATTTAATAAATATTTGAAAAATAATTCAGTAGCAATATCCGTAATCGATATATTTTTTTCGTCAAAATAACTTTACGACGTCACACAAGCCTCATAAAAATCGAAATTCTATTTTTTTTATGTTTTATTAAAATGCGATCTTAAACCATTCAATTCTGTCAAATTTTCTTTTCTTCAACAATTCTTCTTTTTTTCTTTTAGATTAAAAAAAATCTAAGAGGCAATGAGATTATGCTCAGACCACAAAAGTGAAGCACGAAGCAAAACTTAAACTAAGAAAATAAATAAATAAATAAATAAATAAAAAGGCCTGCTGTGTGTCTGTGTGTCTATTTGCTTGTTTAAGCATGTGTTCGGCCTATAGTGTGGGTGTCTGTGTGTGTTTGTGTGTTAGAGTGACCGACAGAATGACTGCGAGTCTGTCAGGCTGCTTTATCTATTATTTACATCAATAGTAGATTTATCAAGCGGCCAAAGCGGCGGCTGGGATCGGAGATGCGGGGAGGGGTCTGTGCCGCAGATCCCTCAATCCTTTTGGCTGGAGATAAGACGAGGAGGAGTGGCCGACGGGTAACCGAGAGAGCACTAAGGGGCAACAGGGAATCACTAATGAGAGAGAGAGAGAGAGTCAGAAAGAGAGAGAGAGAGAGAGAGAGAGAGAGAAAGAGTGAGGGAGAGACTCATCATCATCATCAAAGACGCGCTCACTGACTAGATTAGAGAGTAACCCAGGAGAGGAGCGTCAGGCTTCATCCAACCAAACGGAGCGATCACCGACCGTCTGCAGCTCTTCCCGACCGACCCGCGACCCCTTCTCCCCGGCCTTGTGCGCTCTAGCGCCCCGGTCCATCTCGGGCAGACCTACTATGGGTTGTGTCGCCAACTCCACCGGGACTGAAGTGCTACTGCAGCTGGAGGCTCTCCGCAGCGCCGCGCAACTTTCTCAACTGTTCCGTCTCACGGAGAAAAGAAAGGTCAGGTCGAAAAAGCATAGAGAGACAGTAGCCTATTTGTGTTAAATATAATACGCTGTAATAATAATAATAATAATAAAAATAATAATAATAATAATAATAATAAAAATAATAATGCGTGTAGTTTTCGTTGATTTTAGGCCTTTGCTCTTTGTCTCCTCTCTCTCATCTGACGAGCGCTAAGTCTTAAAAGTTACTTTCCCAGCCTCTCTGTATGTTTGTGTGTGTATGTGTGAAAGAGTGCTTCTGTCCGTCTTGTTGTGGTGACAGTGTACAGCTGGTGCAGAGCGCCCCCATGCGTTCACAGATCACGCCTGAAGTTGTTTGCGCTGTGTCATAATAATTGGGATGCACAGAGCTGCAACATGTAAAGAAGTGCCATTTAAAGATGATTATTTAAAAAAAAAACTTTGAATGTTAATTATCATCTTTATAATTTATTTATTTCTTTATTTGTATTTTGTGAATCGAGATTTAAGCTCAGCTTGGTTTCCTGTACTGTTGGTTTAGGCCTCGGCTCTGACTTACCTTTAAATACTTCAACTTGAATCCGATTTCTGTTGTATTGAACGAAAACTGGGAAAAAATGAAACCCAAGTGTCCAGCAGTAAATTATGTCCGAGCACACTTGTCAAATGACCTCAATAAAGTGATTTGCCGCGTGCAGTTAAAGACCCGACATTTCCCGGTTTGCTGCAGCTGTAAAACAAAAACGCACAACAGAAGCGGGGCTGTTTATTTTTGCTATGACATTTTTTTGTAACAAATGCGTTTGTCTGGATTTCTTATATAATTCTTTCGGGTGTTTATTTATTTTTTTAACAAGAGTGCAGATCACGTTTCCATCTGTAACAGAAACCAACATTTACGTATTTCCGTTCGTTTTATTTCACAAAGTTCGGGTAAATTTGCAATTAAACAAACAGCTGATTGTGTTGTGAAATAAAAGGAGGGGGGTTATGTTAGTAAAATGAATTGTTTAATGTCGTGAACAGATCAGAATCAATTATGTTCCAATAGGAGGATAATGTATCTTACTTTATATATTTGTAATACCCCCGTTACCAGCCATATTATTAGAATAATATTGGGTTTCACGCGGGCCCTGAGCTGCGACAGTAAATATATAGGGGGCCAGACTTATTAATCCTTTCCTGACCTAAGTTAAAGTCTCCCTTGCCTTTCTCTCTCTCTCTCTCTCTTCAGATTTATTATAAAGCTGTCCGGGACATTGAAGCAGGGGAGGAGCTCTTAGTGTATATGAAGGACGGTATTTTCCCTGAGGGATCCATGGCACCCAACCTACAAGGTAAGATTAATGCGCGTCATTAGCGCACGTTTTAAACAAACTCCAACCTGCATCCTGTGCCGCTTTCGCGGTCAACACACTCCATAACTGGGGGAAAAGACACCACTTCTCCCTCCAAGATTTTTTCCCTACTCAAGAAATGTGAATTATTCGAACCATAAATTTCCAGGATGGAATTAAATCCCGCATTAAAGCATATGGTTGAAGGCCGTTTTGGATCTGTCATTTAAAATAGGCTTGCCAATATAGAAAGGATACCCGTAAGAGTCTGGTCTGAATTGTGCTCTTTTACAATGCTGCAATATAATGGGCCTCTTTGCCTGAAACGCTGTATTAGGGCGTCAATTGGCACTTGTCATATTCCATCCTATGCGAGTAGAAATTTTCTGTTGACGGAAAGCTAAGATCAAACAGAAATTACTCGGTAGCCGTGCATATTATTAAGAACACATTATGGGAGCAAAGGGAGAAAAAAACGTTCATAGGTGGAGCAAGAGGAGGAGATGGATTAATGGCATTTAGTCGGGAAATATTAGTTAAAACGTTGACTCGTTTCAACCACCTCAGGTCTTCATCAGAGTGAAAACCTTCAAACAAACACCTTAGTGCTGGAAATGTAAGGAAATCACCATAAAACGGACTGGCATCAGAACACTATTACCATCCTAAAAATGAAAATAAATAAACAATAGGGTGAAAATTGCAAGTCATGAGTTTAATTAGTGTCTCCCCGGTGTGCAACTTTAAGAAGGCTGTTGGTTTGAGACGGTTTACAGTCTACTTCCTCGGTCAAACTTGGATATATAGGTATGAGGTTTCCGTTACAGCGGTTTTTTAGGCAGTCGGCCTTTCTGATGGATTGTTCATTGACTTCTTTTCCAGTCCCCCCACCTCAGCAGCCTGCCATTGTATTGGTGTTCAGCAAAACAGTCTAATCAGGAGTTTCCATTGAGATGGCATTGTATATTTATGTTCGCTCACTCTGCCTGCCTGGCGTTTCTCCGTGCGTCGAAGCGACTTCTCTGTAGCGATTTCAACCCCTGGGAATCCCGTGTTCCGACTGAAAAGAAAGGGGGAGAGATGCCTCTGTCTAACCTGTTTAAGTTGTTTCGGTGTGTAATTTAATTAGTGCTTAAAAATAATGAAGAGAAAGCTACAAAGCAGATCAGGTATGATCAGAAGCAATTTTGAGATTGAAAAATTACCTGTCAGTTAATTGAATATGCTAGAGCTTGAAGCTTTTTTAGTCTCATTGTTGAATTAGTTAAAGATTATACACAATATAAATAAAATCGTTCCCTTTCTTTCTTTCTTTCTTTCTTTCTTTCTTTTAATACATTTCTGTGTATTTTATTATGACCCTTTCTTTAGATCTTGTGCCGTAAGTGCTTCGTTACACCTTCTTTTACACTGTCCTCTTGAAATTGGCTCACATTTCAAAGTGCGTCACATTTCTAGGTGCTCTCATCCACCCTTCTCCTCTCTGACTGGGTAACCTGATTCACTGTACTCACTGCCTTTCAACCGTGCCCGCCTATGTCAGACTGAATATGTCCAATATTTTATCTCGTAATCTAACTTGGACAGCTGTTCACTTTTCTTTCAAACTTTACTTAAGCGGAAAAGGGTCCGTAGTTCCGCTGCGTTTTCTTTAAACATCTTGGACTTATTGTGCCGAAGTGCTGTTGTCAGGTAACATTGTTTTGTTGTGTTTCCAGTCTTTCTGGAACCACAGATGAAAAAAAGAAAATCTGATTACTGTTACTTGTCATTGATTAGAAAATTGTGGAGGGAGAACAAGATGTTCGTGAGATGCTGTGCAGTTCACCAGCTCCCCACCACTACCCTGCATGATGCACAGTTTATGCACAGGTCTCCGTGCCAAAGATGAAGGGGAGGGAGGGGGGATACAGGAGCAAAGAAAGCTATATTATTGAAAAGAAGCAGATTGACATGTTGTAGGAGTGTGTCAAAGATGGAGCACGCTTATACATGATTTGTTGAATTCATCTGCCTGTAAGTATGCGCATGAGGGAGGCAGACAGAGAGAAAATTTCACCTGCCAAAATGTCTGTGTCAGGGCCAAAGTATTTGGCTTTGTGTGTTGTGTAAGAGAGAGCTGAAGGCACACAGAAAAGAACATGTAACATACAGATGGTTTAGTGTCATATGTGAATCAGCAACACTGAATTAGAAGGATGAGCAGCGTTTCAAAGTCATTTCACCGTTGTGATGATCGCATCTGATTTGTTTTTCCTGTCTCCCTGCATTTGTGCGAGCAAGGGAGTGAGGCAGTGGGGTTGAGCAGGAGTTTGGCAGCGCAGCTCTGTTCTCTGTGTCCAGCTTATCGGAGAAGGAATTTGAAGTGGAGGACTTGAGGAGTCCCCTGAGACCTCACCCATGCTCCCAGATTAGCTGCTAAACTGCACATAATTGTGACTCCCTTCGTCTCCCAGAGAGCTATTAGTCTCCACTTTAACCTCCCCACCCCCCTCCACAAAACCCACACAAGGCAGACTTGCTGAAAAAACACAGGCACACCGAAATGCACATGCAAGTACCTTTGCATATGTGCATCCTAACATTCACGCACGCACCTGAGTGTCCTTTTAGGTGTTTCCTTTCATCTTTTATTACTTGTGTTCCTTTTTCCTAGAGGGTACTTGAAGGTCCTTGCTGTATATGAACCATGTCTTTATTTAATTTTATTTTTTGTCCAAAATATTTTCCAATCTTAAATGTCGCAGACAAAAATTATTTTGAGTTGTTTGTGCTGCAGAGGCAATCATACCCAACCCTCTCACAGTAAAATGCTCGCTCCCTGTGAAATACGTCCACACAGTGGTGTCAAAGTGGCTAGTTAGTTTAGTGTTTGAGCTCTGTGTAATGGTCCATTGACCAGAAGGTCATTTATCCTTCTCCCCAAGGTTAGACACATTGATGTTGCTACACTAATGCCCTTTTAATGTGTCCAAGAAGTTCCAGCTGGATAAACGGCCACATGCAGTAGAAAGCAGGTGAGCCATGCACTGTAAGTCATTTTGGATAAACTCATTTAGTACAGCTTGAATTGATGGATGGGTGTGTGTGGCATGTTGGGACACCTGGGGGGCCGACTCAGACGCTGGCTGCTTGGGTCATGCCAAAGAGGGAATGGCAGGTTGGCGCTGAAATCACCATGGGGTCGGCGCCACCGTGGCCCTGCTTACCTCTGTTCATTTTGGCTCATTTTGGAAACATAAGCACACTTACACACACACACACACACACTCGTGCGTGCGCACACACACACGTGTACACTTGTTTATGCATTTGCACACAGACACTCCGCTGGGCTTTCCCCTGATCTGTTGAACTTGGCGTCGGACTCAGGAACTTGCTATTGAAAGAGCTGGTCCGAGTTTTATGCATTTGACCTTGTTGGTGAGAAGTATTGTAAAGGTTATCAACATGGAAGGGGAAGACCAGCCCCTATTGTTTCCTCTGTGTGCTATTACACCAACACTCTAAAGCAAACACTTGTTTTAACAAGTAATTAACAGTATTAATGACGGTTACATTTCACTGCTAATTGATTTCCATTTTATGGGGTTGTTTTTACCATTTGTTAAACCTGTCTATACAGCTGCGACTGAAACACAAAACAAGATGAGATTCTTCTTTTTGCTGAGTGCTATTATCAGTTTTTATCTTTCTATACATTTTAGACAATTGGTTCTACATCTCTGCCAACATGAGTTGGCATACTAAGATGCAAATAAGCTTATTTTGCATTGCACATTTTGATAGTGTGTTGAATCTGATAGCGAAAAATGTTGTATTTTTTGCACAGAATAAAAGCACAATTAAATGTCAGCGATTAGCGCTGCTTGTAGGTGGTCTTAGCTTGTAATTAAAATGTTGACAATTTGACAAAGTTACAAAAGTTACAAAGTTACAAAAACTAATTATTAATCATTTCTATTTACTTAAGAATTCCTACATCAATAGTGAAACTTCGGAAAAGGTTATGACGAGAAATGTTTTTTTTAAATACATATCTCTTAGTTACGTACATGTTTGATGTATTATACATATAGAAAGCTGCGTTGTGGCTAAACAAACCCTTGTGTATGGGTGTGTTTGCATGCAGACGAGCAGATGTACCGCTGTGAAGACTGTGATGAGCTGTTCTCCTCAACACTTGAGCTGCGGCGGCATCAGAAGTATTCATGCTCCAGTGCTGGCTCCATCTTTGACGCACTAAGAGACGACTTCAAACAGGAACGTGAGGACAGCGATGATCCTGTCCATGAGTGTAAAGACTGTGAGAAGATCTTTCCCAATGAGTACAGGTGAAGTTCAGCCCATTCATTGTGCTACAAATGTGATTCATTGACTGATTTGCTGATGAGTTTGTGTTTTCTCAATCAAGTCTGGGACAACACATGATAGTTCACACAGAAGAGAGGGAGTACAAGTGCGACCAGTGCCCCAAAGCCTTCAACTGGAAGTCCAACCTCATCCGTCACCAGATGTCACATGACAGTGGCAAGCGCTTTGAGTGTGAAAACTGTGATAAGGTACAGCATACCCGCCACGTAAGTTGTGCACAGGACACACAGGCTTTATCTGTTAGTAGTTCTTTAAGAAGACAAAGAAATGAAAAGTCTGCTTATGTTTTTACAAAATACAAAAAGGGGAATTTTGTGTAATTTTTTTAGCATTGTTAGTCATGGCATACCTTGCATTTTTTTTTTTATACACTTGTTTTAAATTTCAGGTGTTCACAGATCCCAGTAACCTTCAGCGTCACATCCGCTCTCAACACGTGGGGGCCCGCGCTCACACATGCCCTGAATGTGGCAAGACCTTTGCCACCTCGTCAGGCCTCAAGCAGCATAAGCACATCCACAGTAGTGTCAAACCCTTTAGCTGTAAGTAAGGGCTTCGGAAGTTAATGATCACCTTTTTCATAACAATTTATTTATTTGAGACTTTTTTTTCCTACCTCGTTTAACCTCACTCATTATCCAGTCTCTCTTTTTTTTCTATGTACACCAGCTTGTTTGCAGGCACAAAGGTCGTATTTGCCCTGCAATAAATTTCATTATACAATGTGAATAATAGATTTGATCTGGTTACCTAAGCTCTTTTTTGTCAAACTTAAAACAACATGACAGACCTTAAATTGGAAATGGAGTGTTTTACAGTAAGGGGGAAAAAAACAGCCCTCACATATGTATTTTATTTATTTTATCTGTTACATGTGTGCAGTAATTATTTGGAAGTAAAATATATACAAACTAAATCAAGACCACTTTTTTTCAGATTGTGTAAGTTATCCTGTCCATACGAACCAGCTCCTTCCTTTCCTAAAACCTTTTTTTCAACAGCCGTTTACATTCAAATGTTCATGTTACTGTTGCTTTGGTATACAAAGTTAGAGACAGTGTTAAAACTGGTTTAACTAGGCCCTGGTGGGCTGCATCTTTTTGTTCCCCCAGGCGAGGTGTGCCACAAATCCTACACCCAGTTCTCCAACCTCTGTCGCCACAAGCGTATGCATGCTGACTGCCGCACCCAGATCAAATGTAAAGACTGTGGGCAGTTGTTCAGCACTACCTCCTCCCTCAACAAGCACCGTCGCTTCTGTGAGGGCAAAAACCATTATGGCTCTCCAGCAGGGATGTTCAACCCTGGCATCCCCATGAGCTCCAGCCCAATCATGGCTAAGGCTAAGTCCCACCATCCCCACCTTTCTGGTTTAAACCAGTCAGGTTTAGGCTTCACTGACTACTTTCCTTCCCGACCTCATCCTCATGCTGGCTTGCCCTTCTCCCCAGGACCCCACGGCTTCCCATCCCTCCCACATGGTTTCCCAGGTATTTTTCCCCCATCGCTATATCCACGACCTCCCTTATTACCGGCCAGTCCACTGATAAAGAGCCCGCTGAGCAGCAGTCAGGAGGTGAAGCTGCCTCAGAGTCCTCTAGATGCTCCTCCATTGTCTCTAGTTAGTTCCACAAATGGCAATGGTGTTAACAGTTTGAGTCAGCACGAAGACAAAGAGAAGGAGAATAAACTGGATTTGTCTTCTAGTGGAGAAGCCAAACCAAAATCAAAGATGGCAGATATGTCTGACGGTAGTGACCTTGAAGATGTCAATACCACAAGTGGGACAGATCTGGACACCACCACAGGTACTGCTTCAGGGGACGGCTCTGACCTGGAAAGTGATGGAGAGAGTGAGCGTGAGAGAAGTGGTAAAAGAAGGAAGCCGTCTGGCACTATATCAAGCCAAGAGGCACACCAGTTAGAAGACACAAACCGTGCATTGATATCAGCCATGTCTAGTTCAGGGAACCTGTCGATTGATCGTCCGTTTCTTGCTTCTGCATCGCAACACTCCTTCTTCCCCCCACCCGATGAGCAAGCCCTCCCGCCCACAACCACCACAAATTCCAATGCAGCCACCACTGATTCCATAAAAGCCATCGCTTCTATTGCAGAGAAATATTTTGGTCCAGGTTTGATTGGACTTCATCAGGAGAAGAAGATGGGTCCACTGCCCTATCATTCCATGTTTCCCTTCCAGTTCCTGCCCAACTTCCACAACTCCCTCTACCCTTTTAGTGCTGATCGAGGTGCTCTCAATCCTAGCATGTTTTTTAAAGCAGAGCCCAAGTCACCTCGTGAGCAACTGCACAAAATGGTTTCTAGTTCCCCGGCAGCTCCTGCTCCCACAGCAGAATCACCGTTCGATCTCACCACGAAACCCAAGGAGGCCAAGATAGCTCCTTCAACACCAACAAACACCTCAAACCCCAACAATAGTACTGGGAGCAGTAGTGGACATTTAGCAATATCTAGCAGTGAAGAACAGCCATTGGACCTCAGCATTGGCAGCCGGAGCCGAGGGAGTCATAATGGTGTGCCAGCTGAGCCCCATAATCGAAAGAACCACATCTATGGAGGTGGAAAAGGGGTCTCAATCAAGGATGAAACTCCATCTGGTTTTCCACACCCTCATTCACAGTCTTTGCACCAATCAACCATCACCCAGCACCAGCAGCCCCAGGCACAGCCACACCAGCCACCACCACTGCACTATGCCAAGCCCTCAGCATTCTTCATGGACCCCATATACAGGTATTTCAGCCCGGATTAGACCAGACACTTCCACAACCAACATCAAGGCGTTTTTGTAGATGCATTGAAGAATATGAGGTTGGACATTCTAGATGAAGTTTGACCTTGGTACGTAACCCTCTGCCTTGATATTGGTCCAGCAGGGTGGAGAAGAGGAAGCTACTCGACCCGGTAGGAGCTCTGAAGGACAAGTTCCTCCGGCCCTCGCCGCCACTCTTCCATCCCCAGGTACATAGTGCACACATGACCTAGCTTGGTTTGAGACTATTCTTTTTAAGAAACAGTAAATGCTACGTGCACATTAAACTGAAAGTACACCAAGAGACTAACAAGCAGGGGAATTGACCGCCAGGTATTGCATACAAGCTGATTATTCCCAGATAGTATTGACTATTATTTTCAAACTATGTATTATGTGAAAATACCTCACTCCTGCCTCCCACGCTGCTTAAACCTGAATTGATAGGACCCAAGCGCCATCATTCCAAAGTGTTGATGTTATTTTCTCAAGGGTTCTGTATGATTTCTTCCTTTGTTTACGGAATGGCGCCTGTGTACCTCGTCAGCTTTACCTTTTTTCAGAAGACACAGCCTGTTATCGCTGCCCTTTGATAATCAGTCACATTGTTCCACTGTCCCCAGACCTTCCCCACCTCTACATATCTTGATTACAAGCAATGATAGTATTAATAAAAGAGAGAATAATAACCATTTGAATTGTAACAGACTGCCTCTCTTGGCCACGCTAATCTTAGTTGTGGCATTGTTTCATGTAGTGGGAGCCCACAGGCAAGCTAATAACTCAAACCCCTCAGAGTTTTTTTTTCTTTTCTCTGTGCCTGGCTGGCTGGCTAGATAATAACACCGTGTCCGTCAAGGACATCCTGTGTTTGTGTCCAGGAGAATGGGGGGCTCTCATTGGGGAAACGGTTTAATCTGACCTGGAAATCTGTGTCCTCTATCAACTGTGACTTTGCAATACACACATCTGGTGCACATGCAGACAGATACATTTACACATGAACATGCGTTTGCATATCTCACATGCGTGATGTCATATCGTTAGCCAGCATAGGTTTTTTTTAAGGTAAATTGCAAGAATTTTTTATTTTTTTTTGTATTGGTACCTTTTTTCAATTACCCTAAACCCGGGTACAAAATCTTAAAAACATGATGTCATGACAAGGCTCTAAGCATCAAACAGATTTCCTTTTCATCCTTTAAAATCTCATCTCATCATCTCGTAGATTGCAAACTTTTCGCAGGCTGCCCTGCAAAAACTTTTTTCATATTTGAGCGTCTCAGCTGTGATCCTGTCAGTGATCCAAACACAATGCCACCTCTAATTCAGTCTCATGACGGAATCACCCCGCTCCCCCTTGCACCCGTTCTCAGACTGCGAATAAACACATCGAGACGGAGTGTCTGTCCCTGTGTCTCTCCCGTCCCGTATTCACTAAAAAAAGGAAGGATGTAAGCTGTTTTTGGCAAATAAACTCCTACATAACTGGCCTCTTTTGTTCACAAGCTTCTAGGGGGGGAGGGAAGCGGCTATCAGTTGGGGGTATCACAAACTATATTGTATTGCTCCAGTCATGGCTCTTGAATGCCTCATTTAGCCAGTTTGCAGGCTTGCAACAGCAGCTTTGGCAGAAGAAGGTAAGAAGTAGAGAACAAAGCATTAGTAGAAGCTGAGGTTGTACAGAGAGGGGGGCACTGGAGAAACAGTACTTGGGCATTTGTGAATGTGTTATAGGTCAAGGAGGTGACATGCCTTGAGTACAAACAACAAGGCTAACCTCTGATATGCTGCTTCCTCAAAGCTTCCTCCCTGTATCTTTCCCTCACTCCCTGTTCTTTCTTAAATTGTCCCTTTGTTTTCAGTGCTTTCTTTACTGTTTTTAATACGCATAAACATGCTGCCATCATGATGTAACACACGCTACGTGCAAAAAATTAAAACTGCCCTTATAAACTTTATAATTGAACCCATAACACGGTAAATAATACAAACTCTGGTTGAATTATTTTTATCCAGTTTTTAAAACATGAAACAAAAAATGTCTCAACTTTTTTGAAATCTTCTTATTCCCTAGATGTCAGCAATGGAGAACATGACAGATAAGCTGGACGGCTTTGGAGCACTAAAACTGGACGCACCGCCCAATTCGCTGCAACACTCGGCCCATCCGCTGTTCAACTTCCGCTCACCACCACCTTCCCTCTCAGACGCCATCCTTCGCAAGGGAAAGGAACGCTACGCGTGCAGGTCTGCACCCCTTTTCATTTAAACTAGTTGGTGGAATATGTGCAAATGTGAAAGTGCACCATGCCGTATGCTCACTCATCCTCATTGTCCTTTTGCTCTAGGTACTGTGGGAAAATCTTCCCTCGCTCAGCAAATCTCACCAGACATTTGCGGACACACACAGGGGAACAGCCCTACAGGTATTCCTTTCTATTTTTAATTCAGAGAGTCTTGAAAGTTTCTGAAATACCGTAGTTGACATATTTCCCTTTGTCACGGCTATTTTTCAAACCTGCCTTTACTTTGTTTGGTACGTCTCTTTCTGTGAAACTTCAGAGAAAAAAACAAAGTGAATACTTTTAAGCAAATCACAAGAGCCTTAAGTGGTTTCTTGCTCAACTCAGCAGATAAATAATACATCTTTAGGGCCCTTCTCACTCTACTGCACTTTCAGCTGACATTTAAATACCCCTGTTCTTCTTCGTCAGGTGTAAATACTGTGACCGTTCATTCAGCATCTCATCCAATCTTCAACGCCATGTCCGCAATATCCATAACAAGGAGAAACCCTTCAAGTGTCACTTGTGCAACCGCTGCTTTGGTCAGCAAACCAACCTCGATCGCCATCTCAAGAAGCACGAGCACGAGAACATTCCTGGTCAGTTTGCAACTGCAATGATGGCTGTGCGAACTAGTAATGTAGTCAATAAACAGGAAGTGTTTGCTTAGTTGATTGTTTGAATCCATTTTCACACATGGGTTATTGAAAAACTGTCAGAAAAATGTAAGAGCATAACTTATATAAAACCTTTTTGCTATCATGTTTATCTTCCACACAGATTTCTGTAAACATTTTTTTTTCTGTTTGTCAAAAAAATGTCACGAGAGCTGTGCACGATCTTAGTGTTTAAATGTTAGTAATTGTGTGTTTTGCCTCTGATATTTTCCTAAATTAAATAACTGTGCGATGATCATCACACTAATGATGCTTGTGTGTCTTGGTATGGTATGTGGACTGTCTGTGTGTGTGTGTCCATGTGTTTTTATGCATATGGATGTGTGTGTCTACATCTCTTTCCCCAACAGTGAGCCAACAGTCTGGGATGCTTTCCAACTTAGGAACGACCATCTCCTCGCCAAACTCAGAGCCAGAAAATCATGCACTTTTAGATGAGAAGGAGGACTCGTACTTCTCAGAAATCCGCAACTTCATTTCCAACAGTGAGATGAACCAGGCCTCCAGCTCCACGGATAAGAGGTAAGACGAAAACCCGCTCACAAAAATTATATTTGTACCATGATTCTCACAGAGATCTCCAGCGATTACTTTCCATCCATGTGGCTAACTCTTTTCAGCCAAGCTTAGATTCTCACCCGACCTCATCCTGAATTTAACATTAATCCTAACTACAGCAGAAAGAACTTGTCAGATGTTGTCAGGAATGTTGTAATGCATCTCCTTTATTTAGGACATCTAATCTTAGGTATGAAAATCCAGAAAAACAAACAAAAAGTTTGTTCAGTTAAAGTAAACAGCTGCTCTTCTACATCTCTAGCGCCTTCCTCCTTCCCGCAATCAACAGTACAGACCCATGAAATTGGTACACAGCGCTCCCTAGTGGCTAGAACACACTTAGTACCATTGCACTAAAATAAATGAAAACAAAAGGTTTTCTTAATTTTTCACCTTTCATTTTTTAAATGTAAAACATAACTGTAATTGTTCAGTATACCAATTTTCACACATTTTAGTTTCTTTAATGTTTAAAGTTTAATTAATGTGTTTGTGAATGTCATGCTCAGTTCTAAATACCCTGCAGACCAGTAGCACAAGTGTTAACCCTGTTCGTTTCGCTGCACTCTAAAAATTTTGTAACTTGCTTATAAAGTAAGGAAAACTTTTTTTTATTTTTTTAAAAACTAAACAAAAAAAAAACAGGTTTCTTTTTTTTAAATATCCTCATAAAAATGGAAACTTCCTGCTTTAAGTTCTGAAAGGCTTTTATAGTTAACAGAAAAGGGCAAGAATTGTGTTTTGGGAAATAAAAGAAGGGCGATTTTCTGGTTTGCTCTCTTGCATTGATTCTGCCTTCGTCTCATTCTGGATTCCTTTCTGGTAGTCTCACTTTCTGCCTGCCACTTCCTCATTCTCCCCCACACCCCCTTTTTTCTTGTCAACATGCATTATGTCCAAAAGACACAGTGGCAGTTTAGCCCCTCTGCCATCTGGGATCAATACCGAGTCTCATCCACAACAACCTCGTCTGACATTTTAATATCTGTAATTCAGACTAAGTGTTGTGCTTTCTGTCCTCCCACCAGACAGCCTGCTGTTTATTCTCCCTCTGAGTGACTGAAGTCAAATGCTGAACACAAACACACATTCATGGATGACTATCTATAATCACTCCTAGCTGCCCCCACATCACAGTTCCCCACCCCCTTCAAAATTCCCTTTTCAGCATCATGGCCAGTCAAAATAAAAGCCCCTGGGAGCCTTTATTTTTGTATAAAACTTTGACCTGTTTCCAAACTGGTGATGCTGTAGTTGCTGAGGCAGCACTGCTGCTCACAGGGTGGGACAGAATGAGAAAAGTTAGGGAGTATAGGTGTGCACGCATATTTTCAGCTCCACCACAGTGTGTAAGGACTCACCGCCTTTGGCTTGAGTTTTAGGTTTGGATAAAACTAGAGTTGGAGCTGCTCCCTGATCTGAGACCGGGCTGCAATAGCTCTCAGTTTGGACCCTAAGGGGGACTCGGGTTGAGGCATTTATCTAAGAGATCCACTGATGATTGAGCTCTTCCCCTATCCACTCACTGTGTACCCATAGCCCCAGTCTGCTAACACAAACACCCAACTGACGTGTTTAGACTAAATGACAAAACCCAGGGCCCCCTATGTCAGAGCTACGCTTCTCTCTCCATTCGCAGGCATGTACTTTTTCCCCGCCAGCCAGCGCTGCAATTTGATTATGGTGATATTTAATCTAGACTGAAAGAGAAGAACCCCCCTCCACTCTCACAAAGTCCCTCTACCCACATTCACTCACCCAGTCTGCGTGACCCAATCCTGTCCCCGTGCACCCCTTCCCAGAGGTAACCCTGTCTGATTTGATAAATGTCCACTGTGTGGCAAAAAATGAAAGGGGTAAATTTGCCATCCCAAAGGAAATGATATCATGAGCCATGACATCGTGGTCTGGGGGTGATGGAAGCGGGGGAGGGGGTATTGGGGTGCAAGCTGGAAAATGTACAGATGGCAGGTCGTAATGGTAGTGTGCTGATAGCCTGTTTGCAGCCAAGCCATCATCTTCCTTCAGTTGTGCAAACTGTGTTCCACCACTACAAAGCGTTGAGGGGCATAGAGGACTTAGTCTGAGGTGGACCATGCCCTGGTCTGTTTGTGAGGAGCGGGTCAATTAATCATCTGTGGGCCATCGGAAAAGTCCAGGCAGACTGTCAGCACCCATGTTGTTTGTGTGGACTTGGGAGTTAGACTTTACATGCTGTCATTAGATTATTTTTGTTTCTCTTGCTACTCATGATGAGTCAGATCGTTAAAAGGTTAGGAAATGGTAACAGCCGCCCAGCCAGCTCAAGAGGGACATAGCCTCTATCTTACATTTTGATCATTTGTGGTAAAAAAAAAGTTTAAAAAAAAAAAAAAAGAAAATCAGGAATTTACACTAGAAATCATATTTTAAAAAATCAAACTCCCATTTGGTTTGTCTACATGTGTTTTTAACTAAAATCCAGGCCACTATACTGACCACGATTCAACTTTTCTGTGTTCCCATTGTTTCCCTCTGGCCCCTCCTGATTGGCTTGGGAGACTCAAACCTCTTTAACTCAGATGTCGCACTTCTAACATTTCCTCCCTGCTCTGACCTTTGATCCCTCCGCAGATCAGACCAGCCTGAGGAGGAGCACCCTCCCAGCCACAGTTTGTCCAACTCCAAGCTAGGTCTCCAGGGTCTGGAGGAAGAGGAAGAGGAAGTGGAGGGTGACGATGAAGAGGAGGAGGAAGGCAGTCTGACGGAGAAGTCGCACGACGAGGCGCCCGAGTCCCCGTCTCCTGTCACAACAGGAGTGTATGAGGAGGATGAGGAAGAAGAAGAGGCAGAGGCGGCTCCATTAGCGATGAGCTATGAACACACTCGCAGGTATTTGTCTGTTTTAAATTAGCAGAAAAGGTCCAAGTTCATTGACAAGATTTACCCCAATATATCCCAAACAACCACAAAAATGTACAGCAAATGTTGAGTTTTAACAAAATTTGCAATACTTAACAATCCAACTAATGCATTTCCTAAAGAGCACTGTAAATCGACAATGGCAAACAGGGATAACACATGTACTAAAAATGTCCCCTACACAGATTCTCAGATATGTAACCCAAAGTCAATTGCTTTGATTAGGCTAGTTTCTTTAACTACTCTTTAAACTCTTCAACCCTTTTCTTCCACTTTATTTCTGCTGTCCATTGATCCCTTTTATTAATCATACCTTTACTTTTCTCTTCACTTCACATTCTCCCTCCCCTAATTAACTCGCCATCTGTTCCATCCCTGTTTTTTATATCTTTCCATCAATTTTTTCTATCCATCCTCCAACCAACCCATCCACGCTGCCCTATTTCTTCCATCCACCCATGCTTCGGTGTGCAGGTGTATAGAGGAGGAGGGCTCTCTCTTGGACCTGGAGGCACTGCCCAGCTTTCCCAAGAGCTTGGATGGTTTACGTAAAGCAGCCAGTGACGAGCAGCCTTTCGATGTTAAAGACATTTTTAACACTTCGCTAGAATCTGAGGCATTGAAAGAGACATTGTACAGACAGGCTAAAACCCAGGTATGTGACTGGCTTTTGGATGTCCGTTAAAAGAGGAAGGGCCGAGTCGCTCAGATAAAATAGGAGGAAGGGCAAAATATGTTGACTGGAAAGAAAGATCAGGGATGAGATGGATGCTTTCACATTTTCAGGAGCTAAACAGCACCTCTCTTCCTACTTTCCTATATCTTTGTATTTCACTTAACTTACTAACACATCACCTACAACCTTCTCTATTCGTTGCTGGTGTATTAAGTTTTAAAACAATTTAATTAAATTTTGTTACAAGGTATAAAGTCATGAAATTCGAAGATAATCACACTTGAGTGAAACACCAGCAACCAGATGTACTGTAATCCTTTCATTTCTGGACGTGTCGTTGGACACAATGAAAGCTTACTGAAGTTTCTGTATTTTCCTAAAAATCATCCGTCTTCTTCTTTCACAGGCTTATGCAATGATGCTGTCTCTCTCTGAGAACAACCCTTTGCACGCGCCCTCCCAGAACTCTCTGGACGCTTGGCTGAGCATGGGAGGTGGACCGTCTGAGACGAGCAGCTTTCACCCACTCAACCACATCTAAGCGCGCGAGAGAGAGAGAGAGAGAGAGAGAAAAGGTGGGAGGAAGAGTAGGAGGAAGAACAGAAAGACTGAGTGGACATGAGTAGGGGGCAAGACAAAGGATGATGGAGAAGATTTCATTGTCATACATTTTCAAGATAGAAAGAATGAGTTTGTGTGGATGTGTGTGCTTGTTTTGTGTGTGTCTGTGTGTGAGTGTTTGTTAAAGAAAGAAGGGGAAGATTTTCCCCCAGGTGAAGGGTCTTGCAAAGACTGTCAAAGCGAACGCACTGCTAAGCTCCTGTTGATGTGAAGGACATGATGAATGCTTCTCAATAGCATTGAAACTCTGCATTACTCTGATCCTCCCCAAGTGCACAAGGCTTACCGCAGCACCACAGAGACCCTGCGTAAGGCTCTCATAAAGACTCTTAATGACTGATACGTCTCTAAAGTCTCTATACACCGCCTACTACAAACACTGCAGAGACATGCTGCATTGGCACTGCATGTCCACAAGTTGGCACTGTTTCACCAAGAATAGAGTGAGAGTGTTGACCGCTGTCTCCGTGTTTCCTCCACCAACCATGGGTGACTTATTTACTGATTTTGTTTCAGTAGTAACAGCAGAATCAACAATAGCACCACACTAAATGTTAGTTAAAGAATTGGCAGATACAATAGACTGTTGATTTTTTTTTTTTTTTAAAGAATTTTATTCTACGTTCAAATGTGCTTTCAATGAGTTATCTGGGCCACTAGCCATTGTAATTGGTTATTCAAACTTGATCATGCTGAAAATGGATTTAAATCATGTTCAGAAAAAAAATGAGGAAAGTCTTTCTCTGCTTGTTTCATTGTCATTTGTTAATTTTATTCACATTAATTTTTCTTTCCTCTTACACAGTATTGTTTCTTCGTAGGCACTGCAGTGCTTAATTGTTAATATAATTAATTTAGAGAAGGACCAAAATTGTATGATATGTCATATGATGTACAAATTAACCTAGATGTTCATAGGAAGAGTGGTATGTGCCAAATAACCCATAGAAAATGTTTTGTTCTCTGACAATCATTTCATTTCCAAGGGGCTTGCATTTGCTGTCATAGTTTCTTTGTTTTTTCTTTCGTACTAAGCGCTTATATATTTGATTTCAGAAGTGTGTGTTTGTATTTATTTTTGGTTGTTTTGTCATGGTAGGGGGAGTGAAAATGAAGAAGTCATTTTATCCCTCGTTTCTTGTTGCTGAAGGAATGGTAAACTATCAGAACATGAGGGAGATTCAGAATCTCTGGTTTTGATGGGTTAGTGTGCCAAAATGAGAAAAAAATACAAAATCAAAACAAAAACAAAATAAAACAAAAAAACAAAAAACATGAAATTAATTGATTTTATTTATAGTGAAATATAGCTGTAGTTAGTCTTAGATCCTATTTGGCATTGAAACATCCTGCAGTGTTTAGCCTTTTTATTTCCTTGTTTTAGTTGAACCATTTTACCCAGTAGGCTGAATGTGTCTTGTTCAAAATGGTTCAAGTACTAAAGGGGGCAGGCTTGGACAACCTTCGTTATGGATGTCATGAAAAGGGCATTACATTGTTACACTATTGAATCTGAGTAGTTTCTACAACATCGAGCTCCCCCGTTCATCTGTTTCAGATTTAATACATGTCTTATAACCAACAAATACTGTTGTTTTTTGTTTTTTTAATGAGTTGTCCAATTTTATACGGTCCAAAATTCAAACGCACACAGCCACAACTGCACGAACATGGCATAATCACTGACTATTTGAGAAGAAAGACAACAACTCATTAAACCAAAAGAACTGATAAAAACAAACCACAGAAAGTATTAAAACGGGCATCGTAATTCTGCTGGTCGGTCCATTCAAATTAAATGTCTAGCTGTCTAGCTGGATGAGGAAAACCGAAACACTTGATAACTTCTTAATCTGAAATTCTTCTTCTGAGGTCATACTGAAAACTCATTCCATGTGGTCTACAAGGTAGCTGTGCCATGCAGGGGCGTGAGTAATTTACTGTAGATAGCTGCAAAAAGGTGGAGCGTGGGCATTGTTGATCACTGTTCCTCTCCGCATACTGGGACTTTTCTAACTAGGCCTGATGCTGTATTTTGAAAATAGCACTTAAATCATATGGGTCCAAGCCAATAATTGATCATGCTTAGGTCCCTGAATGTTAGAACAGATACATTTGGTTTCACTTTCACTAGATGGGCATGTTGTGCTCAACATGGAGAGGTAAGGATAACAGAAGCACTGTAATTTTTCTTCATGACAGTAGGTGGTAGTGTGATGCTAGGACTGCTGCATCATCTCAGTTTTCTAAAGACAGATGTCTTCTTTTTATATAATTCTACTGAATGAGATTCAATTCATGGTAAATGCATTGCTTTCCAACTTGTGGTTACAAAATGTAAAGACTTGGGTCATTAAGTTTTAAGGTTGACTGTTTGTAGTAATTCTTGTCATGGACTACTGTAATAAGTACGCGCTGTGTAAAGCAAAGGAACTGAAGGCATATAGGTATTTCATTTTGCCAGCTTCAGAACGTATTCTGGCAAGTGGTCACTGAAATATGTTTCAGCAAAATAGAAGATGGTTGCTGTTTGCCCCCGCTGTTACAGGAGAAAGTAAAAAATATACATAGTTTCTTTTTAACTGTATAGTATTTTAAAGAATGAAAAACATGGTGCATTTGTCTGAAGAAAAAAAATCATTGAAAAATATGGGTTTAAATGGATGGTGCTTGTTTTGTTAAAATCTGAGTTGTATATCGCCTCTGTTATGTTTATTGAAAGCAAACAAAAAAAAATTTATTGTGCATGACGTGTTAGCAGTCATAATGATGTCCATTTGTGAAACGTGTATCAAATCAAAAAAATTAAAAATTAAAAAAAAAAGAAAAGAAGGAAGAAAAAAAAAGAAATTCGTAGATGCACTTATTGTACATGTGGTTAGGTTAGTATGTTTGACTTCAACTTCTGACTGCCTTACAGATGTTTGGACAGGTGGTCCCGAAAGACTTAGAAAAGACTTGTCAGAGAAGACATAATGAAAAACAATAAAGGATTGTAGAATAATATTGAACAATTCTGAAATTGCAGTTCTTTTGATGCTTGTGATTATTGCAGATGTACTTTAGAGAAATTTCATTGAAAAGATATGACTCTGATGTTAATTCTGTAGAATAGCAATGTATACCAAATGTAATCTTTCCAATGCTATGAAGAATTTATACATGAAATTGATATGCAATAAAACCTGTGTGCTTTTTAAATGAGTCCTCCGTTGTTTATTTGTGGGCTAGAAGTGCCAGAAATAGTCACTGCTCAGCAAACAAAGGTGACAATGCTTTGAGCAGTTCCCCTCCGCTCAAAGCAGACACTCTAACAAGTTCAGTCCTCCTGTTTGTGAAGTTTAAAGAGAGTGAGAGGCTGAATTGAGGCCTGGTGTAAGATACTTTCAATAAGGTTTATTTTCTAAAAGAGCATTTTTGCTTCTTACTAACAGAACTTACACACAGTATTATTTGCCTTGACCTTATAAGTCCCTTTAAATTACTTATTTTGCTCATTGTGTGAAAAATATTGAATTTAATTATTATATCGCTATAGAAATTGTTTTTTGTCATAAATATAACCTTCTCACCTTTAACCCATGGAAATAAAAAAGTTGAATTAAGTGTTGGATGTCCAGCCAATTGGGCACATGGTGGAGATTAACTTTAAAAAAATTAAAAATAAAAATTATTGTAACTCTTCCCAAATTGCAGTTTCTACTGATTAAATTGTGTTTAAGAAATGGCAGTTTCTTTTGTAGTTGTTGAGGTCAAACAAAAATCTAGAAACCCTTTTAGATTTAGATGTAGTTAAACGTGCAAAACTACTGGGTAGAAAGAAAGATTTGATTGACACTGTCGTGCCAGTAAACAAACACGATCTACATGAAAATGTAGTCAGGAGGAAACATTGCCCAAAGGTTCACACTCAATAACTTATCACCTTTTGAAGAAAAATGCAGTGAACTCATCACCCAGCAAAGTGTGGAGGAAAAATTAAACAAAAAAAATCATAATGTTCATATTTTGTTAAATATTATTTTGCTGCTGTGGGCTTTACATTGAGGATTATACTAAGTTTTGGGTTGTTGTTGTTTTTTGTACCCCAAATCCTTCTTATACGCTATTGATTTATTCTTTGAAATTTAGTACATAAACAATTCTACATTTAGGTTAGGATGTGTTTTAATTGAGCCATTAACTCAGTTCAAATACAAGTCCAGCGGGATTAGAGGTGAATGGAACATTCAGGAGAAATGTGTTCTGTGATTTGAGGTCCAAGTGAAAAATATGAGGTTAAGAGCTGTGAAATAGAAAATAGAGCCAGACTATGGATTTAAAAGCAGTCGGTATCAAAGTCAGTTGCATAAAAACTTTAAATAAGCAGGTGCTGCATTGTTAATGTTGTAAGTTAGTTGGAATAGACTCTTTCATTTGGGAGAAAGTTAAACTGCAAACAAGTTGGCAATAATATGTGTTTGTGACGCATTAGTTACAGCTTTTCCATATTTCCAATCAAATGGTGGGAATGTATGTGTTGGATGAAGTCTGTGCTGAGTTGTAGTAGTGCAGGTGTAAAACAGAAGCCATACTTAATGGCAGCCAAGTGTTGATGTAAGAAATCCAGGTGTAAGCCAAAAGTGTAAACTCTGTGGGACATTGCAGGAGTTTTTCATGAAGATGAAAAAATAAAGTTAGCTATTTGTTTAATTGACTGTAAATTGACAAGCAAGGGATTAAAACAGTTACAGTTACAGTAATGTCTAGCTTTCTTTCTGTCTTTGCTTTCTAAGGAAATAGATCGTGCTATATTAACATGGTTTTATAAATCACAAGGTATTTTTACATGTGCGTAATTTGTGTTTAAGTGGGTCTGATACTATTCAACTTTTTAAAAAAGTAGAAGAAGAAGCAAAAGCAAAAGAAAACATTTAACCCAATCTCTCTTTTTAAAAAACAAAATTTGCCAACAATTAAATAAAAGGCTAAACAAAGTAAGAAAACATGATGATAGTTTACATATTCATACTTGTGGCTGCTCAGTCAGCTTCATATCTAGAAAAAATGCAGAGTAACTAATACACTGGTAGAGTGTGCTTGCACAAATATCTTAGGCTGTTTTTCTTCTCACATGGGGAAAAGCAGATGTCCACTGAACGTGCTGTGCCGATTTGCATTGTCAAAAATCCAAGCGCCATTCCACAGTCGCAAAAACACCACATCTCCTACCTCTAATAGCAATGTGACACCATTAGAAGAACTGACTGAATGAGGACTGCTCGAATGTTCGTATGCAAGAAAGACGTGCTCTCCATTCTTGACCAACACAGCCCCTGAAGGATGTGAATGATATCCATATACATAAAATTCAAAGTGGTACGCTCCTCTTACTGGTGCAGTGAAGGAACCTGTGGGACATTTTTAAAAATTTAAATGGAGTAAACATTGTCATCAAATCAAATTAATTCTAAAAAATGTATGTATTTGAGTACCTGTGTGTGAATTATAGGCATTTCCAATATTGGAAACAACATATTTGAAGACCAGAGGCACGTGTGTGTTAAATGGTCCAATAGTTTGTGAGCCTGTGCCTAACAGAGAGGCTGAGAAAGCCACACGTTTGACTGAGAGAAAGAGAAACACACGTGTTAAAGTGACTTATGATCCAGTAACTGTTTCAATAATGAGATTGTTTCCTGTTCAACAAACCTTCTGCTTCTCTCTTCAGGACCTCCACCTGGTTTTCTGTGATGTTTGCCCTACTTTTAATGGTGATTAGCTCTCCTCCTTGTGCTGGAATTAAATGAATAATTACATTTTTTTAAAAGATACTGTTTGACTATGAACATTTTTAATAAAATCACTTGTTGCTAAGCTTTTGAGCTAACTATTTCTCAGTGCAACACAATGTACCTGGTTGAAGTGGGATTTGCTAGGAGACAGTTAACTAAATACTAGTGTGGCTGTATGTGTATATTTTAGCATGCATGTATAAATTATGACCCCTGTGTGGGTTACAGTTACTTGTGCATCCAATTCTTGTTATTTAAAGAAATTAAAGATGTATGAGACACCATCATTTCACCCTGGAAAAACTTTAAGAAGTTTAAAGAAATGATTAAGAGCTCAAACTTGCTACGACATTCATGTCTGTGATGAGTGTATGCAAACTTGTGAGCACAGACGTATATACCTTGGCTCTCTTGCTTCAGCTTATCCATTTCTGCCCTTAGCAACTCCAATTCTTTCACCTTAGCTGCTTGTGCTGACAAAGAGAGTGATAAAAAGAAGAAGAAGAA